AGGCTCAGGATGTATACAAAGTAAGCACCCTGGCTTCCTGCTGAGTCACTTAGCCAAACCTCTAGACTCCCCAAGTTGACACAATGTATCAACCATAACACTCATATATAGAAGATATTTAATTATGAGCACTAAAGAAAAAAGGCCAGAATTTTCAGAAAGTCAATGTTTACATTTAGTGACATAGTGATTCCAGATAAAACTGAGAGCATTTAGACAATAACAAATAATGAGAACTGATTTTTCTATGTGCATTTTGTAAAATTAGTCTCAAACATGTCTTAGTTTTACTGTTCATAGAGTATACAATATTGGAAATATTCAGTGCAATTTTTAAAGACATTCTATCCATCTATATTTACTTTTACCAGTTTCACTTAAAGTAATGTATTCTGTTTGCTGTTTACTTTTACTGAGAGCATCTCTTTAAAGGATCAAGAATTTTGTTTTTTGTACCGGGAATCAAAGGATGAAGAATTTTTAATGAAATACTCAATTTGTACAGAACATATGAAGTCACTGAATTTAGTTACATGGATACCATGATTAACTGATGAAAAATGTTACATTAAATGGAACAATAGTTGGAATCTGGGACAGGAAACTGGTTTATGACTTTTTGGTACAACTCTCACTTAAGCCCCTGGGACCTGTGAAGGGGAAAACCCTAGATTAGTCATTTTCAGCTGACTTCAGTTGCAATCAAATAATACAAAAATAAATTTAGAAGCACATTTTGGGGCTTGAATCTGATGAAGACATCTGGGTGTAGAAATCTTATAAATTCCATTCATAAATTAACTCTTTTTAATTACAAAATATTTCAAAGCATAAGGCTTTGAAATAGTGAGAAGTGGGAAATATTCTCTGGGACAGAACCCGATAATCACCCGGGCCACACTGTCAATCACACCGATGCTGATGCACCAGACTGGGAAGAAAACTTGAGAATTTGAACTTTTAACAGGTCTGCAGGTGATGTTGACCTGGACCACACGATTAAGGAGCAAAGCAGTGAGTGTCTAGATGTCCCCAAATTTCTTTGCCAAGTGGTCATGTTGGTTTTTTATAGAGGCAATAAGTCGTAGGCCACAAAGTTAGTGGCCTAAAATAACACTAATTTATTATCTTCTATTTATGGAGGTCAGAAGTCTGACAGGAGTCTCAGTGGGCTAAAATCAGGATGAGGGAAAAGCTGGGGTCCTCGGAAGAGGCTCAAGAGAGTAACAGTTTCCTCGGCTTCTCCAGGTCTAGAAGCTGTCCACATTGCATCTTTCACACTGGGAACATGACGTCTCCCTAAGCCTGCTTTAGCCATCACATTAAAACAATTCACACCCTTGCCAAAGAGATTAGTGTTTCTGCTGCTCCACGTCCTTGTTAATATTTGTTCTTGACATTCATTGGCTTTTGCTTAACTGATGGGGTAGAGAATGAAATGTTTTGTGTATGTATAATCATTCCACCATTATAGGGTGAATTTCCTCACCTTCTACTTTTTTATATCCTTCTTGGATGTTGTATACAGATAAGAGCATCAGTTTGTCAGCTTCTATGGAAAAATAGGCTGGAATTATTTTCATATGGAATATATAGACTAATGTGGGATAATTGACCATCTTTGTGAAACTAAGTCTCCTCATTTAAGAACACGGTTTAACTTTCTATCTCTGTAGACATTTTTATGTTTTTTTCAGTAAAGTGTTATGACATTTGCATCTGTGCCTTTCATATCTTTAGTTGAACTGATGTTGTAATATGATAATATCTATTGTTGCTGCTGTAAATGGAATATTTTTCCCTTTAAAGAATATTTTAAATTTATCCACTAGTATTAAGAAAGCAATAGACTTTAGTATGCTGGTCTTACATCTGGTAAAATTTGCTCAGTTCTCTTATTAATAATGTATTTTGAGTCTTTTAGGTTTTCTGTATTGGGCAATTATCATGAATTGCTTTGTTTCTTCCCATCTTATGTCCTACTTTATTGGATGGGACCAATGATAATCAATGAATAGAATCAGGGTCCATGAGTATCCTTATATTATTCCTGTTTTTAATGTATATGTTTCCAAGGACTTATAGTCACACATATACTTGTTTATATAGATTTGGTTTTTACATTTTATTGACTCAAGTAAATTCATGTGTGTTTCCTAGTTTGATCATGTGTTAAATGTTACCAAATGCTTTTCCTGATATGTTGTTATGATCCTATCATTCTTCTTTCAACAGTTAATGTAATGTTATTAGATATTCTAACATTCAATGACTCTTGCAATCTTGAGATAAACTCAACTTAGTTATGATGTATTTTTATGCATATATTTCTGGGCTTGTTCAGCTAATACTTTATTTAGAGCTTTTGCATCTTGTTCTTACATGAGACTAGCTGCAATTTTCCTCTTTTATACTATCCTTGTCTCTTTTTGGTATCATACTTACTAAATATATAAAAAGAATTTGGAGCATGCCTGCACTCTATTCTCAGAAGAAGTTTGTATAGAATGATGATTATGTGTTCCTTGAGTATTTGGTAGAAATATTCAGGGCTGTCTATATTTTATCATTTCAAAATGCAAATTATATACTGAAAGTTCAGTATCATTTAGTACGGTTTTTGGCATTTGAATGTTCTGTTACTTGTGTTAAAATCTCCCTCCATGATCACCGATTTTTCAGTTTCTTTCCGGAATTCCATCCAGACTGGTTTTGCTATCCTCCTCCCTCAGCCTCCCAGAGTGCTGTGATTGCAGGTATGCACCACCATGCCTAGTGAGAACTCTTTACTATATACATTTTGAAATTATGTTACTAGATAATTCTGAGTTATCTTTCTTCTAAAATATTTTTATCATGTTTTACTCTTTTTGACTATTTTCAGCTGGTATTAATCTAGCTATGCTAGTTCTTTATACGGACTTAGTTTTTACATTTTAAAATAATACTCTGGTTTCTCTTTAGATCATATAAATCTTTCACCTTTTACATTTAGAAATAGCATTTGCTTGTTATGTTCTCTTCAATCTCTTCACTTTTAATTTTTATAGACTTCAACATTTCTTTCTAGACTTTTATGTGTTACTCTCAAAAATGACATGTAATTCCATTTAAAAATACTTCTATGTGACTTTTGCCTTTTAACTGGAAAATATGTTTCATTAACATTCACAGTAATTGTATATTTGGATTTTTAACCATATTGTGTTGTGCTTTTTATTGAACTTTGTTTTTGCTCTTCCTTCTTCCTTCAGTGTATTCTTTGAATGAGTCAAACTTTTTTTTCCCCTCTCTGTTTCTTTCTTATGAATATCTGTTTCTTTTGGTTTGGGGAGTTTTCCTTAAAATTATAATAAGGATTTTTGAACAAAGAAAACTTAATTTTTCTCATTATCCTGAGTAATGAGTGCATTTTGTATTATTTTCTTATATCTGTCTTCCAGTTCATTAACATTCTGTTCCACTTTACTTAATTTGCCATTTAACCCATTCAATTAATTTCTTAAAAACATTCTAGAATATTAAATTCTTTAATTCAGTTTTTACTGTGGTAGATACTATATATTTGATTTCAAATGCCTGAGGGCAAGCCCAAAGCCATAAACTCTTGGAATATTTATTTATTTGTTTGTTTGTTTATTTATTCTCATGGTATTGGGGATTGAATCCAGGGCTCTGGCATTGAGCTATATCCCCAGTCCCTTTGATTTTGAGGGAAGGTCTTGCTAAGTCCCTAAGTTGCCCAAGGTTCCTTTTGCTACCCTCCTCTCCCAGAACTCCCAGAATGCAATGATTACAGGTGTGCAGCACCATGCCCAGACAGCAGTCTTGTAAAGTGTTCAGAGGGAGCCAAGCTTGCTTCCTATTGTCTTGTGCTAGGGCAGGGAGTGGGGTCAGGCCTGCTGAAATGCAATGGGTAGCCCTCTCAGGATTCCGGCGGGGTCTCACTTCCTTCCAGCTTTCATCCTCAGCCTAATTAAACCTCCCACCAGGCAGCCCAACACTTGGTGGCTATGCCAGTAACCTGGTTTTCCTTCGCCCCCACTCCATGTGCCCTAGCTCCAGCTCCTGAGCTAACCCTCCTGGTTTTGGTTCTTTTTCTGGCTCCTGGGTAACTTCCTTTCTTTACTGAGAGCTCATCTGATGTCCTGTTACTGTCACTACAATGGAAACACATTTCCATGTGCTTCGTGCGGGAGGATTTTCAGCTGTTATAGACCTCCATATATCGACAAAAACAGGAGCCACTAAATTTACTTTTAAAATACGATCCCTACCTCTAAGCCCATGGCGTACCAGGTTATGGAAAGAAAAGCACCTAAACCCAGCTTATTTCTTTTCCCCAGTTCTTTCCCCTTTTAGGTTTACTCACTTGCACTGAGTTACAAAGTGTTTATGAAAGTGTAGTGGCAATCCCAGAAGGTTTAAAGACAAGATAGCTCAGAACGGACTTGGCTTTTAAAGTCACAGAAAGTCCTAATGTGCTGATTTACCTTGGAACCAGAGTCACTTTCCCACAGTCACACCTGTAAAAATGCCCGAAGGAAAAGTGAAATAAAGTTTTATGTACTTAAAGGGTTGCGAATAAAAACTTACACACAGTGCCAGAAGGGTGATTTGCACTCACAGCTCTATGCTTGCTGAATTATCTCTCCCCACGCTTCCTTTTTCTTCCCCCAGTGGTACCAATTCAAGTAACCACCGACAAGCCTCAAGGAGACAGTCAAAGCCCAGTGTTTCTCCTCTTTCCCCTCCGACCTTCCTCCAATTAATCTGACCCTCGTGTAAACCTTTGTGGCTTAATATTGTGCAACTTCCACGTTCCCCTCGCCCTCCTACCCAGCCCCTCCCCCAAAGCCAGGGGAACTCCCGCTGCGCGCTGCCACCGGCATTACTCATTCATCCCGGTTCACGCTTTCCCCGCGTTTATTAAGAGCGGGTCGGCTCCAGCCCCTCACTCGCGCTCTGCTCGGCTCCAGCTCAGCTCGCTGGCGAGCCTCGCTTCTTCCCCTCCCGCCAGCCTGGAAAGAACCTCGCCTCTCCCCGGCAATGCATCTCCTTGTAATTCTGTTCTGTGCTCTTTGGTCTGCAGCGCGGGCCGAGAACGCGGACGACTATGAGCTCATGTACGTGAACAACGAAATCTTCAATGGACTCCATCCCACCGAAGACCGTAAGTTCCTCTCAACTTTCTCTGCTCTTAACTGCACACCCCACTTCTCTGGGTCTAAATCATATGCACATATTCTGTGGCCAATGAAACGAGCTAAAAATTATAGCTTTGTTTGCAAAAGTGGGAGATATTCGAGGAAAAGGGAGAGGTTCCCAAAGTCATTTCTGTGACTGCTGGAGTGGGACCATATGAAACCGCCTACATGACTTTTTAGCTACAGGAACGGCAATTTCATATAGGTCAACTCAATCTACACCCGAATGAATTGTTTCCGTGTCACTTCTGAGCTATTTCCGCGGTGTTTGACGCAACCGTCCTTAAAACAATGGGGCTGCTGGGGACAGGCTCTCACTTGGGACCGCCGAAGGTCAGCTTGCACAAAGCGCCCCCGGCGAAGGCCTGGGCGGGCTGGTAACGTGTGTGTCCCCGCTCTAGCCACGCCGTGCGACTGCCGCCGGGAGCACTCCGAGTGGGACAAGCTCTTCATCATGCTGGAGAACTCGCAGATGAGGGAGAGCATGCTGCTGCAGACCACGGACGACGTGCTCCGCGGGGAGCTGCAGGAGCTGCGGGCGGAGCTGGGCCGGCTCTCGGGCAGCCTGGCGAGGCCGTGCGCGCTGGCGGCCCCCGCGGAAGCGCGGCTGGCC